AGTCGTGGAGACCAGCCTCTCGAACTTAAGGCTGCGGGTCGCTGGCGAAGGCCTGAACGCCTCCGCTGGAAGCCTGGCGCTCTTGGCCACGTAGACGTGCTCGGGAATCAGGAGGTCGAAGTCGCGGCGCTCCTCGAGAATCCCAGAACCAAGGGCAACTGTCATGCTCTCCTCTGGCTTCCTGAACCGAGCAGCCGACATAACTTGCCTGTTGTTCTTCTGTGCGCCGTTAATGTCCTCAACAATCTGGGTCATCAGGAGACCAGAGGCCCACCTTTGAAGCAACGATTTCAACTCTGCATGGGGACTGAAGTTCACCGCTGGGTCGAGACAGGCGCGCTGGAGCACTTGGTTGCTGATCTTCCCAAACAAGTGCCTATCAACGACCTCCTTCACTGCGGCTGACATGGGGAGGTACTTTGTCAGCGCTTCGCAGGCCTCCAGGTCGACCTTGAACTTCTGGAGGATCTGGTCGGCAAGTCCAGGCTCGTCGCTGTGGGTGCCAACCATTCGCCACGGCCACCCAAGCGTCATGTGCAACCCTCGGCTCAAGCGGTGCTTGACCAAACACCACTGCATGTCCGTGATCATCATCGCGGCCCCGTCCTCCATGGCAACGTCATTTGCGTCGAGCTTCTGGGCGTCGGCTTCAGAGCATGCGAAGTCGCACTCCTGAAGGAAGCGTGCGTCCTGCCCAGTAGCCACGAGGCCTGCCACGTGCGTCAAGAACTCCCCGCCCGCCTGGCGAACGATCCAATCGAACGTGCCCTTGGCGGATCGCCCGATCTTGTTCCCCTCTGTGTGCCAGTCCTTGACGTGCTTGCCCAAAACCAGCGAAGCCGCTGCAGATGCGGTGGCTGACGGGGTCGCTCAAGAGGACGACCGAGAGGGCCACGCAATTGACAGTCGCCCCTTTCAACGCAGACCTCGTCTCCAAAGTAATGATTTTCTCCGTCGCGGCACCACCGTGCTCTTCGACGATCTGGGCGGGCCCTGGTTTGACGCGAAACTGATTCAATAATGCTTTCGTCGCGAGCCAGCCGTTGTGCAGCGCCAGGCACGTGCGCTCGAACTCATCTACCTCCCAATTCGGTACATTCTTGAGGGCGCAAGCAGTGACGCCCTGGAAGCGATTGAGGTTAGTCCGCATGCCAGTCGGCACGTGGCCTGCACGTGCGGACAGAAGTTCCAGAAGTTGGTCCTCGATGTCTCGCGAATCGTCGAACTTGTGGCCCTGCCTCTCGTAGCACGTCCGAAGTCCCGAGGCCTTGCTCAAGAACAGTGGTGAAGACTTGGCACCCTTGCTGTTGACGAAGTCCGCCATGGCTTCCCTCAGCTCCTTGTAGCGCTTTCTCTCATCGGGGTTCGGCCCGAACGGGAGGTTCCACGAGCACAACATAGCCAGCATGAACCCCCAGAGCTTCACGTCGTGCAGCATGCACACCACAGAGCGGTTGCCACCATGGGCAGGGTCGCAAAACTTGTCGACACAACACTTGAACTCCTTGGGCCCATACTCGAGAAGGTTCATCGCGCTGAGGCCGTCCCCGCCCAAGTCGATTGCCACTGTCAGGCGGGGGGGTCGTCCGCCAGTCGGACCAGTCGCCACCTTCGACGGGCAGGAAAGAGCTCCACCCCGATGCTGCAGTGGCCCACCTCAACTGGTTGTCGGTGTTGTCCAACCAATGCTTGGCCGCCACTCTGTGCAACTTTCTCGGCTTGAAGGTCTCTCGCTCCCCGCCCGTGCACTTGGTCAGCCACCCAATCTGTTCGGAATTGCGCCTGGCCCAAGTCGGTGTGTCAGCCTGCCTCTTCTTCGGGTTCACGCCGACAGCGTCGGGGACGGCGCCCTCGCCGTCGAAGCTCTGGCCCACCTTCGGGGAGTAACGAAATCGAGGGCTGCATGCGCAAATCTGAGCCTGGAGACCCCCTCCAACAGTAACACCCAGGGTGAGGGGCCGAAAAGCGGATTTCCACCGATCGAGGCCTCTGGGACGCTGCAGGCCAATCATTGGCCAGCCCCCCCCCCCCCCGTCCCCGCTGAGCCTGCAGCGGGGGCGGGCGCCGAAGCGGGGGCCACAGGGGGGCAACCCCGCCCGCGCGGGCGGTGCTGGTGTGCACTTTTTTCGCCCCATGGGAACGAAAAAGTGTACACCACCACCCGGGTGGACAGTGACGGCTGACTCCCCATCTCCACCTTCCCCGTGCTCCTCCTCCACCGCCCCCCTCGCCCTCCCGCCTCCCTCATCGCCTTCCCAACCCCCTTCCCCCACCTGGGGCGGGCAGATCCAAGCCTGGTTGTCCGCGAGGGCGACAACGCTGTCCTGGAGTGGCAGGTTGCACGGCGTCGCCTTGTCTGTGGCAAGCGTGAAGCAAAGGTGGCCCGCCCCAACAGTCTGGTGCACCGATTTGGCGCACACCGTGTACTGGCACAGGAAGCTGTCGAACCCTTCGGCGTCGATGATGTCCGAGGGTTTGAGGTACTTGAAATCGAAGCCATCGGGTCCGTTGGGGGCGTCGCCATGAGATTGCTTCAAACAGACCCTCTCGATTTCCCAAGACATCGCGAGGACGACCTGGCCGCACAGGCTCCTCAAGGCAGTCTTGCCGCATGCAGCCTTCAAGAGCTCGTCCACGTTGATCTGCGCCGACTCGCCAGTGATAATGTACTTCAGCACTGCCCACCACCTCCTGGCTGGGCCATCGCGCTCCCCCGCGGCGAGGAGCTGGGACAGGTCCGCGAGGCCGCCGATGCAGGTGATCTGGATGGCCGAGACGCCATCGGGCTTCACTCGAGGGCGAGGCCACGTGCACACCCACTCGTCGTCCAACTCCAATGCAATATTCCACGGCTGTCTCCTGGTCAACCCCGCGAGCGATTCGGCAAGCGTGTTTGCGCACTTCTGCGTGATGACGGTATTCTCCCCGCCCTTCGGCATAGTGGTTCCGATCCTGTGCAGCATCATGAGGAGTCCTGCGGTGGAGGCACAAGCGAACGGTAGGCACCGCATGTCTGGCAACAGCTTAGACTTCCTATTCGACGTGTCGTCCGTGCCGTAGGAGGCCTGGATGATCAGGCCCTTCCCGCTGGGGCCGATGTAACGCACGAAGCCGGTGGTCCACGACTGGTGGAGCCTCTGGAACCACTGGCTGAACACCTTCCTGAAACTGGCAACCTTCAGAATGCTGTGGACCGCTGAAAGTTGCCACCATATTTGCTGATTGCCTTCGCGAGGCCTCTTCATCGTGCAGGTCGCGATGTCCACGGAGGCGCCGACGTACGAGAGCGGGATAAGGCTGCGACCCCTCCTGAACTTCATCCGCAGGTAGTGCCAGTTGACGAACTCCTTGGGCGCATGCTTGGTAGTCCTGGACGTGCTTATGTTGTAGTGGCCGCTCTCGTCCACATAGACCGCATACTTGAAGAGGGCGTCGAGATCCTTCACGTCAGCATCGCCATCCATGGTCACCAAGGCCAGCGCGCAATCGCAGCCGACGGTGACGAGCTCGCACTCCAAGAACGGCTCCACGAGAGAAGTCTCGCCAGTAATCACATTGGTCACCACGTAGCTGTGATTGCCGACCCTGTCAACCTTCAGCACGTCAGCCAAAGGGGCCAGTGTGTACGTCGGTTCGGTCGGGTCGCCTTTGTGCACCATCTGCTTCCCTGGGTCGATCTTCATCGGGCCGTCTGCGTCGGCCGACGCAGCAGCCATGGTCGAGGCAACTCGCACTGACGGAGCTGAGGCCGGTTGACGCGCGAAGGCGCGTGACACGCCCGATCCAAGAAACGTCGAAGCTTCAGCCAAAAAAGGCTACAGATGGGGGAAGTCGAAGGCGATGAGGAGCAGGTCAGGCGGATGTCCAGCTTTCGCGATGGGCCCAAGGAAACCACGTAAACGCAGACAGCACACCTTGCTGCACCTAGCGGTGGCTAAGTGCAACAAGATCTGGGCCCCCCGAAGGAAACCACGTAAACGCAGACAGCACACCTTGCTGCACCTAGCGGTGGCTAAGTGCAACAAGATCTGGGCCCCCCGAGGGCCCCTCTGTAGGCTCGAGCTTCGTCTGCGAGCAAACCACCCCGAAATGTCGTCCGACCTGCTCGTCTCGCCCCGTCGAAACACCTATTGAGCTCTGCGATCGTCGGGTGGTGTATCGATCGAGTCACCTACTCACGTTTCTAGAAAGCGAGCGTGGTTCTCTCCCCCCCATCTTTCCACACACCAAATCTTGCTGCACTTTGCGGTGCCTACGCGCATCACGGTTTGGGCCCCCCTGGGGGGCCCTCTTGAGGCCCGCGCTTCGCCAGTGAACAAACGACGTGCTCTCGACAAGTGTTTCTCCCAGCCTCTCCACCCCCCGTCTCCTCCTCCTCTTCTCCCTTCTGCCTCCTTTACCTCCAGCCCAATCCCCCCGCAGACCCGCCCCCCTGGAAAGCAGCGGAGCCGCCGAGATAGTCGAAGGCGCGGCGCCTAGGGCTCGGCGGAGCGGGGCGGGGGGGGCGATGGGGACGCGACGACGGGACACGGAAGAGCGGGGTGGCCCAATAACATTGGAAGGATATCAAGCGTTGGCGGCGAGAGGTGCCGAGATTGCTCACGCGCCCCTCGAGGTGGACCGATGTTGGCACTATAGTGCCAACATCGGTCCATAGCCTTGCCGTCGCCGTCGTCGCCGCCCTCGTCGCCGCCAACGGTTGCCACCGCCGTCGTCTGTATCCCCTCTCACCCCGCCCTCCACTGTGAACCGCCCGTCCCTCCCTCCCTCCTCCCCCTCCCCCACTCGCGGGATAGCTTGCACCCCGTCGTACTTCCTACCCCTCTCCTCCTCCGCCACGTCTTGACTTCCTCACCCCACGCCTTGGCCTCAACATTCGCTCACATGCTTACTGATCGAATCAACCTTTCGCCTGAGCTAGCCGAGGCAAGTACGTTGACGGGTCTCTCCATCTCCCCAACGAAACCTCAACGCTATCGCAGATGAAGTGCAGACGCTGCGCATCCACGAGACCACCCCTGCGACACCTAGAGCGGAGGTGAGCCCCTAAAGTGCATCTGGGGCCAGTGCATTAGCCACCGCATTCAGAAGATACCCTAGTATCGAAACTGAGCAAACCCATCGGGCACAATCGCACTGGACAGCACAAGAGGCGGAGCAATGAAAACAACGCGCGGCAGCTACGAAGCACGAGCCGCGCTCGGACATGCCAATGCGGGCATCCCCTCGAATCTAGGCCGGCAGTCACTTCGTTGCAGCGGCTGCCCCCGACGACGACGACGCACTCGCAAGCGACACCATCGAGGGGTCCTTCTTCGCGGCCTTGGTCAACATAGCCTGCTGGGCACGCTCCCTGGCCTCCGTCATCGCCTTCCTCTTCAAATCCGTGTTCACCTGGCTCAGCGCCTGGCTCACGAGGCTCTGCTGCTGGGCGTTGTCCAGCGCGGTCTTCCGACCAGCCTCCCAAGTCTTCTTCGCGCTCTGCGCGAGCTCCAACCAACTCTCGGACTTCTCCGACACATCACCTGACTTCCAAGGGCCTTCAGCTGGTTTCTTCTTGAACAAGGTCGAGATGGTGATGGGGGGCAGCGGCTTCCTGATGAACTTGGCGGCCCGATCGTTCCAGTTGAACGCGAGCTTCGACGTCGCCAAGATGAGGCCCTCGCTGATCGGGATCTCGAACTTCGTCATCGTGTGGGTGATACTCGTAACCCACTGGCCCTTCGTCATGACCTGGTAGGCGCCCAAGTGCCAGTCGACCCCACCCTCGGGCGTCAGCTGCGTGCTGCGGTGCTTGATGGGATGGCTGGCGGCGACATCCGAAGCATCCAAGACAGCGTTGAGGAGATCGACGAACTGGAACTCCGACTCCAACGGCATATTCAAAGGTATCCTGGTCGCCTGCGCCATCAAGCGATACACGACATTCGGATCGATCTTTTTGGCGATCTTCAGCTGCTCCAGGGACAGGTCGGAGACCCGAAGCACGAAGTTGGTCAGCACCTCCTCGTCGACGCCTCCAAGGTTTTTGGGGGGCTCCTCGGGGCGCAGACACCACGACGCACATCCTGCCCCTCCCGCCCCCCTCCCGCTCCTTCCACCCCTGCCCCTCATCGACCTCCGTCCGCCACTATCCCGCCCACTCCTCGAGCCTCGAGGGGCGGATGTATGTAAGCGGCTTCTGCGCCCAATCCTTGAGGAGCTTGTCGCTCGCCGTGTCCGCCACGACCTGCTTGTCGAGCTCCTTCTTCTTCTTCAGGCCCTTCTCGTACAAAAAGTTAACGAACTGCTGGGGGTCCTCGTTCATCCACTCCACGACCTCGCTGGCGAAGGTCATCAACCGCTCGACGTCCTCAGCCTTGGAGGCCTTGACGAAGGCAGCGTTGAAACGCACGGTGCCTCCTGACCTCTGAGAGCCAGCAGACTTCGCCGAGCAACGGGCGACCATGGCGCGGAACCCAAGAGAAGGGGAGGAGAAACGCGCCGAAAGCTCTCTGAGAAAGCCAAAGAAGCTGTGGGAAAACTACATGTTCCTCATCCTTCCTCCTCCTCCTTCGCGCCCTCCTTCTCCTCATCGCCCTCCCCTCCCCCTCCTACTATTCTTCTCCGCTCCTGACGGAACTCTCGCTATCGTGTCGTGAAGGCGGGGGGGGGGTGCAACCCTGCGCGAATCCTCTCCTCCTCCTCCTTCTTCACCTCCTCCTCCTCCTCCTCCTCCTCCTTAACCTCCTCCTCCTTTATGACGTAGAGGATGTGGCGAACTGCCCCAAACACCATTGAACCAAAAACGAATCTATTTTTTCAAAAAACAAATATATATATATATATATATATATCTATATATAATATATATAATATGGTGTCGGGAGGTGGAGGTGTATGGAAATCTCTCTTCGAGAGCCAGAACCTGCGGCAGCAGCCGCAGCCAAAGCCTCCGGTGGCACAGCCGGCACCGGCCCCGCCGCCAGGCCGCCGGTGGCCGGCAGGCGAGGGCCGGCAGCAGCGGCGGCGGCCGCGCCCGGCAGGCCGCCAGCCGTCGCGGGCGCGGCGGCCGCCAGGCCTCTCGGCCCAACGCGGGCGGCAACGGCCAGGCGCTGGCGCCGCCGCAGAGCAAGGCCGGCTCGGCGCCGGCGGCGTTGGCAACAATGACTGCGGAGGTCTGGGCCCAGCGCACCGTCACAAAGTCTTGTTCGTCGGCCAGCGCGGCAGAGGCGGTCCGCTCCAGCGTGTGGCTATTCGGGGCAACCGAAAGGCTAATTGGCCGGCGTGCAAAAGGGCGGGAACAAGACGAGCGGAGTCACAAAACACTCAGGGTGAAACCTTGAGACAGAGGGCTTGAGTCAGAGGCCACGGAAGCGCCGCGCACATTCGTCTTAAAGTTCGCACCAGCTTCAAGGATGGGCGGTTCCTTTTCAAAATGTGGCTCCCGCCTTAGCGCCGCGCACATTCGTCTTGAAAGCTTGCAGCCGTGTCACGAATGGTTGAAGTCCCAGGAATTGCCGTCTGGCACAAATTAGAGCTGTCAGGACGCAAGAGTCACGTTGATTCGAGCCGCTGAAGTCCTGGCACGATTGAGGATTCTCAGACGGTTGTCAATGGGGCACTTACCACAATGGAAAAACTTGTAGAAGCGTAAAGAAAGGATGGAGGGAGGGTTTATCGCAGCATCGTTGATGCGTCTGAGGTTGACACTGCTCCTCCTCCTCCCCCTCCTCCTCTTCCTCTTCCTCCTCCTCCTCCTCCTCCTCATCCTCCTCCTCCTCCACTCTTCGAGCGTCCCTCCTCCCAGTAATCCTCGTCTTCCTCCTTCCCCGCCCATCCTCCTCCTCCTCGTTTTTCCCATCTCTCTCCTCATCCTCCCCCTCGCCATGCTCCTCTTCCTTTCATTATTCATCCTTTCGTTCCCATCTTCCTTCCTTCTCCTCCGCCTCCGCCTCCCCCTCTGCAATTGACTCCAATTTCGGGCCCGTTTGAAACCATCGTCTACAATGAAGTTGGGAAAGTGCGTGTGGCGTCCATGTACCGAACGATCGTTTCAAGCAGTTCCACCTGGAATGCCGTGTCTGAGGTCTGAGGATAGGTGGGAAATAACTAGAATAATACCAAACGCCAGAATCACAATTTAAATTCGCGAAACCAAATCAGGAGGCATCGCAGTAAGAACTGGATTCAAAGGAGAAGAAGATGACGACGACGACAATATGGAAGAAAAAGAGACGACCGTGCACGGACTGCTTGGCACCGCGCCCCCCGCACACCGGTCCGACCAGATTCGAGCACGACGTGCCTCATATGTGAGACAACTGCGCGCCCCAGAGTATGCTTGATAATGCGAGCATGACGTCCAGCTCTCTGGTCAAACCAACGGACGACAGGAAGCGAGGCCATCAGCTCGCGGCTCGACGTCCTCCTGCCACCACTCTCAGAGATCCCAGGAACAAGAAGTACATATGCTCGCACAGAAAGCAGCGCTCCCCAATGGCTAGGCCGAACTGTGTTGCTCACATCAAGACACAGTGCTGCCCATGCTTTTCCTATTGGCATCTCTCTGGAGTGAGGAGGAAGGACATGGAGGAGCAGCAGGAACAGGAGGGGGAACAAGGAGGGGAAGGTGAAAGAGGAGGGGAGCGCTCATAACCAGTCACGATACCATATCTAAGTGGGGCCGCCCACCCCGCCTCCTCGGTGACGTCACGACTCGCGCCTCCAGAGGAGA